CGGCAGCCCACCACGCGCACCACCACCACATCCAGCGCTGCCACTAGCGCCGGGCCACCCAGGCGGAAGACGACTCGTCCGCCTCTGCTGCTGTTGCGACTGTTGCGGCTACGGCGACGGCTGCAGCTGCGGTGGCTGCGGCTGCTGCGGCTGGCACGGGTCCGGCGGCAACACCGGCGACTGCTGAGACGGCTGCTCGGCTGCACATGGCAGGGTCCTCGCGTCAGCACCACCACTAGGTGACCCAACTCCAGCACCACCTACACCTGCACCCCCACCCCTGTCGCCACGTCCAGCCTTGGGGCGGCGACCCTTCCCCGGACGAACCAGTGCGGCAGCGGCAGTCTCAGTCACAGCAACAGAACCGTCGAAGAAGGTGCACTGAGCGGGGGCACAACCCTGAAAGATAGGGACCGGCACAGTACCGCTGGTCTGAGCGATAGAGCGGTGGCGGGCCTCTATTGCGGACAGGGTGTCAACAAAGTCAGTGAGGGTAAGGTCAGCAGGGTGGAAGCTAAGAAAGCGGTCACGGGCAGTGGCAAGACGGTCAGTGAGGCGGGTGGGTAGCAGGTAGAGAGTAGAGGTGAGGGGCGGCTGGTGGGCTAGAAGCTGTGTGTCAATGCAGGCAGCACGCCAGGTCTCGTCTATGGTGCGCAGGTGAGCGGCCAGGTCGGCGGCAGTGGGGAACGACGCAAGGTCGGGAAAGAGCATGGGGAGGATCAGACGACCGACCGAGGCAGCAGGCGGGGTGGAATAGCGCTGGACAACAACATCTAGGAAAGCCTGGGCAGTGGTGATAGACCTGAAGCGAGATCGCTCGGACAGGGTGAGGGCATTGCTAATAGCAAGCTGTGCAACAGCGTCACGAGACAGCCAGACAGAGCGAGCAAGGGCAGCGGCTGCAGCGGACTCACTCTCAGCGGACGAGGGGTCAAGAGACAGTGCAGCGGGGGGGTCAGGGCAGGGGAGGGTACCATCAAGATGGACAGACAGCGAGTGGCCATCTTGCCGCTGACCAGTGAGATGGCGACGGAGGTCAGGAAGCCACGCATCAAACTCAATCGGCTGGCCCTCAGCATCAAAGCAAAGCACCGCCGCCATGAGTGATAATAGAGGGCAGTGTAGAGTAGGACAGTGCGGTGCAGTACTGTGCAGTGTGATGTAGTGCTGTGTAGTGCGGTGCAGTGCGGTATAGTGCGGTAGAGTACGGTACAGTGCGGTGCAGTGCGGTGCAAAGCGATGCAGTACGGTGCAAAGAGATGCAGTACGGTACCGGGGGGGGTTCGGAGGGCGGTGCTGATCGGGAAGAACGGGCCGAACCCGAGGCAGCGGCGGGCCGGCGACGGCGCGATGCAGGGGCCGGCCGGCTGGCGGCAAGTAGACACGGCCGCGACGGCGGCTTGGGACAGCCGCAATGGCGGCCAGGGACAGCCGCGACGACAGCCAGGGGCAGCAGCGATGGCGGCTAGGGACAGCCGCGACGGCGGCCAGGAACAGCCGCGACAGCGGCGAGGGGCGGCCGCAACGGCAGGAGCGACCGTGAGGCGGCTGGAGACGGCAGCGGCGGCGGCTAGGGGCGGCCACGATGGCGAGAGGCGGTCGGGATGGCTAAGGGCGGCCAAGGGACGGCAGGAAGTGGCCGCGACAGCGGCTAGAAGTAGCCGCGACGGCTAGGGGCGGGCTTAAACGGCCAGGGGGGCGGCTAGGGATGGGCGCGAACGGCCAGGGGGCCGGCTAGGAACGTAGGGGCGGAAGCGTGAGCGGGCTAGGGGGGGATCTAACCTACTATGATACCATATCAGAAAGAAAATGATTGAACTAGAATGTGTGTGTACAAGGATATATAGACTAGGGTGTTGTACCCTCTAAGGCACAATCCAGTATAGTCTACAGTAACAATCTAAGTTACATTTGACAAAAAATTGTTTCCATCGTGACCATTTCTGGGTGCATAGACAGTACTCTCAAAGTCAAAAGTGTTGATTAGAATAAGAGTATACAGGGGTATATGGCTAGTGGGTTGTACTCTCTATGGCAAGACCCTATGTAGTCTACTAAACATATACAAATATGTTTGACACACCCTCTAGACTAGATAGGGGCAGAGCCTTGTGAGAGACAAACAGTTCAGGGCAGCACTACTAGTCCAACCTCTGAGGCAGGGGTTTAAAGAACAGTCAAAAGAGTACAAACAAGGCAAGAACAAGACCAGGGCGGCACTACTAGTTCAGCCACTGGGAGGAAGCCACAAGGCCAGTCAGGATAATACCTTGTTCTCACTTGTTCCTAATTACTCTAGCATTTTAACCGTACCCTCTTCAGTAGGATCCAGTAACACCTACCAAGCCTACAAATATATGTATAAAATATATAATTTAACACACCACCTAGGCTTGGTAGCCGAAAGCACACCACGCACACAATACACTAAGCCACACACCCCCTAAGCCTAGCACCCCCAAACTTAGCAGCAGCGACGGCTTCTCCAGCATGGTCAACCCCTCGGCGTGCGAGGCGGTGACGTCGACAGCGAGGGCAGCGGCTGCAAGGGCGGCGACGGCGGCGTGCGGGGGCGAGGCCAGCGGCATCAGCTGCGGCGGCGGCGGCTTCGACGACAGCGGCGGCGGCGGCGGAGCTCGCAGCACTCAGCGGCGTGGCCTAATGATGGGAAGGCTTGCGCGAGTCAGCCGTCAATTGCGGCGAGGAAGAGGGGGTGCATGGGAAGGGGGCGGGGCTTCAGCAGCGGAGCCAGGGAGCGTGCCGCCCCGTGTGGTGCGCTGGCTGCATGCGGGCATGCTGTACGCTGGCGCGTCGACGCCGCCACGGCAGCACGACGACGCCGTCACTGCAGCACGACATGGCCGTGGCGGCGGCACGGAAAGGACAGGAGGGAGGAGCGAGTGTTGCGGAAGCATGATGCGCAGGCCCGAGTAGAAGGACCTGCTCGTGTACCATGTTAAATATGCTAGGAAAAAATAGAAGCCATGGAAATGGCGTGAGGTTTAAGGCTAGTAGAAATTGACGAGAGAGAAGAGGGTTGGACTATAAGAAAGAGGGATACAAGAAGGGGGGTTGTACCATCTACAGTAGGATCCAGTAACACCTACCAAGCCTACAATTATATATATACATACAATACATAATAAATTGATGCATTTACATTAGAACAAAACGAGTTTTGACTCCAAACCGTCTATTGATTCTACTATAGACAGACTTGTAACTGTATGAAGTTGGAAATAGAAAAGAAAAACGTAAAACAACGATCAGAACCACTATCATTTCAAAACTACAGCATACGTCAACGAGGAGGAGTACGTGACGGAACTCTATATGATTCTGTCATCGCAAATGGCATGTGTCGGTTGGCTATCGTGGTGTTTCCGCGTCAGCCCGTGAGTAGGTGGATCGCAACGATGTTAGTTGTTGGTATTTGTGACACATTGAGCTCGCAACTGGTCGTCGACCACTCAGGAGCGCATTGACGGGGAACACACGATTTCTAATGGCGACGACAAATGTTTCACATGGTGACTGCGACTGTTGTCGTTAGCATCGTGCGTACATGGGTCTTGCACCTAAGGAATAATTGCAGCTGAGAAACTTTTGCGCTTGTCGTCGTTGCTCCAATCGCGTATGACTTGTATCCGGATCTGGTCCTCGAGTTGTTTTCGGGGGGTGAATACCCTCTCGGCGAAACCCCTTGTGAAAATATTGGGTGTGAAAATACCGCGGGCTAGGTTTACTAGACCCTGGTTTTAAAGCCCCACTCTCATAATTCTAGGAAGGAGCAAGTGTTAAATGTTTGGTACCCAGTTACGCTGGCGAATTTGAAGCGACAGGCTTGGAAATGCCTCAGACAGTGTGCTGTGCTAGGGGGGGGATACCAACCGTAAAACCAGTTCAGCAATATGAGAATCGGCAAGTTTACGGAAGAACGGTCCTGCTGCACCGTTAGATCATCGAGAGGCTTTGAGATGACGGTTGAGTGACTGGAAGTCTGAATCGACGGCTATAAACAAAGTAGAAAGTTGTTGCGCAAAAAAATGGAGTTTGCACCGTCCGATATGCTAAACCTGACGCGTCCCAAACTTCCCCAAACCTGTTTCGTTGTTTGGAGTTTTTTGTCGAAACAAAACGGCCTCGCCACGTGAGTTTCGTTTTCATAGTTTTGTTTACACCTCGCGTACCAATCAGTGCCTGTCTGTCTCAACCAAGTTTAAACTCTGGTAATTATGAGATGGGGGCTTTAAGGGCTAGTACAGTTGCTCCAACCGAACGGTGACAACAAAGAGGATGGCCCCTTGAGGCAAAACCTCGGGGGCGCTCGGTCGGACCCCGCTGGTCCGTGCGCGTTCCCGCAAAGGCACCAGCTGGACAGTCAAAGCAGTGATCCCGGCAGTCCTCTCAGGTCAACATCAGTCATTCAGGGCGGAAAACATGTGGTTCACTCGTCTGGGGTAGGGGACGCTTGTCAGAGCTGCACTTGAGAGTTACAGAGCTCGCAAAAGTCGCTGTTGTCTTCGCGAGTGTGTTTTACCTGCGTGAGGTTCGCTAAAACACCCCCACCATCGGTTTTCCTGTTGATCCCGTGAAATACACCCAAATGTTTCGTCAACGTCGTGCGAAAACGGTCGCAACATCGCAACAACATCTCGCGAAAGTATGTGCACGTTCGTGCGAGGTGCTGGGCCTTGAGATGGCGAAATATGTCCCCATCTTCCAGATGGCAAAATGTCTCCCCCTCCTGCAATCCCCGTCAGCTTTGGACACTCACATCACAGCTTTCGCCGGTTTTCCACTTCGCTGAGCCCACCAAACCCCACTCCCCAGGTGGCGATTCGCGCACACCCTCCTGCCCCGTTCCTCCTCTCCATCCCGCAATTCTGCACCTTCGCGGCGGCTACATTCCCCAGCCGCAAACATCGCCTTCTAGTTTCCTCCTGCCGCTGCCACTCCCAAGACATCATAAGACGAGCCACGGCAATCCCTTACTCCACTCCACTCGCCATAATCCAGCAAGTTTTCGCCAAATCGTGTTTATTTACTAATAGCCTCGTCAGCAGCCTGTAAGTCCTTCCCAACTTCTGAATCCACAATGAGTGAGAAGACCGCACTGATGAGTACGACATTCGAGACGGAGGGATCGAATATCGCTCCCTCCGGTGAGTCACCGCAACCGGACCGCGGCGGCGACGACGCCAAGGTTACCGTCGCCAAAAATCTCGTCTCTCGCGCAGGCGCCTCGCCCTCTAGGCTGAAACGGCCGGGGAAGGATGGACTGAAGGGGACGGCGGAATTATCGGGTAGTTCTAGTAACTTACCGGGCTTGAAGGCTGCGTCTGGCTGGAACGACACCGAATCGACGGACAAATCGTCGGCCATTTTCAACATTCACGACCGCCCCGTGCGTGACGCGGCATGGCGATTCGTCTTCCTCGTGCCGCTCGTGCTCCTCGTCGCCACGGGCCTGCGGCTGCTCTTCTTCCCCACTACAACCACTCTATTCAACCCTTTCACTCGTACTTCCAACAGTCCCCTCCCCCTCATTCTCCTCGTCTCCCCGTTCGCCCTCCTCCTCCTCTTCGCCCTCAGCCTCCCGCTCCCCGTGTTCCTCGTCGCTTCTCTCCGCCGGATGTCCGCGCGCACCCTGAAGGCGCTCGTTGTCGCCGCTGCCGTCATCTGGGCGCTGCAATGTGCCAGCTCCGCCGAGCGCTTCCTCTCGGCTCCGCCAGACGCGGCCGAGGAAGTGAGTCCCTTCCAGGAGCTCATCGGCAATGACCCTTTTTCTCTAGTAGGAAACGAGTTCGACAACTTGAACTTCAAGCGATCGAGCGATTTCTCTGTGGGCACTGACGTCGGTGAGCGCGCGGAGGGGGGAATGGGTGAGAGCGGCGAGATGATGGAGGGAGGGATGGGCGTGGGGGGCATGCAAGGGGGCATGGCGGGGGGCATGGGAGGCACGGCGGGCGCACAGGAGGGATGGCTGGAGATTCCATCTGAAGCCCAGGAGAACAGCGCTGATGGCGCAGCACCAGAGGATGACAGCAGCAGCAGCAGTAGCGCGCCCATGAGTGGCATAGGTAGGCGGCTCCTTGAATCCGCTCTGCCCAGCGCCGCACACCCGGTGGTCGCCGCTACCGCCAGCCACGCCGCCCACTGGGTGCATGGTGCCGTGCACTCCGCAGTGCGCCGCCGGCTACAATCCCGCGTGGATTCACTCGCCGGGGAAAGTGAAGGCGGGCAGTCGTCCGTGCGGGTCGTGCTAGACCCGCACGACCCACAATTCCCGCAGTTCCCGCAAGTGCAGCAGCAGCTGCTCTCCATGGCGCCGATGGCACGCCGTGTGGAACGCCCCATCGATTTCCTCGGTTTTGTCTCCTTTGGGCTTCTCAGCGCCCTTGCCGTGCTCCTCCTGCTGCGCTGCAGCCACCACCTGCCGCTCGTCGCCTCTGTCATCGCGCACACTGCTCATGCTACCATAGCCCAGGCCCCTGTCATCCTCTTTCTGGCGCTGCCCTCTATGCTCGCAGCTTTGCTCCTGGCCCTCCCTTTGATAGACGGCATTCTGTCCGGCAACCATCTCGTTCTCTCCATCCTCCTGTTCCTGCCCTTCCTCTTCGTTCTCCAAGTGCTCGCAACACTCGTCACCTACTCTGCTTCAGCAATCTTTGCCCGTCTGTACGTCCCAAGCGGCGGCAGCAACTACAGCAAGGGCAATGAGGGACTGCAGAGGGGAGGCGAAGGAGAAAAACCCGCCTGGGTGACAATCAAGGGCCAGCTAGAGCTCTTCCGCTCAGCTCTTTCCCTCGCCTGCACCTCCTCCCTGGGTACCTGCTGCGCCATTTTCGTCGCCTCTACCAGCGTCAGCATCCTCAAGTTTATCCTCTCCGCCCTCTCTTTCGCTCTCTTTGGCCAAGGCGTGCTGGGCTACCTGCTAGCTGCCCTCATTCGCTGTGCGGAGGTCGCCTTACAGTTCTTCCTGCACTGCCTCGTCCTCCCCACCAGTGCCATGAGCGGCCATGGCTTCACCCGCTCCGTGCGCCTCTCTCTTGACATTCTGCAGCGCTTTCTGGTGCCGATTGTGGTGGCCAATGCGGCTGCGCTTGCCCTGCTGGTCATGCTGATGGTACCGGTGTTCCTCATCAACGCACTGATTGGATTATTCGGGGTGAGTACGTTGCATCGTTGGAGGTGTCATATGCTTTCGTGCATGCTTCCGTGCCAAGCATCCTGCCTAATGACTCCTCTCTTGAAGAAAATACCCGAGACGTTTCCTTTCTACCATGGCAGTGTTCTTACTACTTTTCATCGATCTGTTTTATGTGCAGGGGGGGGCAATTGTGGGACTGTACTATGAGGACCTTGGTCCATTTGCATTCGTGTTCCTGCTTGGCATACTCCTGATAACCCTCGGGGTGTCTCTTCTCTCCATGGCAGCACTCTCATTTGTCCTCACTACAGGTGTCTCTACTACAGTGCTGTGTTTCGCCTGGGACCAAAAGCTTGATGCACAAGAGGGCTTGGATGTGACTGGCCTGGTTGGTGGATGTTCCCTCAAAGCTTGTAATGAGGTGTAGGCGACATTAGATTTATGAGTTCTTCCATTTCATGTGTTTAGTTAGTCCTGTTACAAATCCGAAGAGTTGTCCCCTCTACGAGCTGACCTAGCTAGGTTATAACAAACATACCTAACCTAACTAGACATAAGTGTCAACTTATATAGATATATATATTATATTTGTGTAGGCTTGGTAGGTATTCTACAATTCTGGATCCTTCTGTAGAGAGGAGAACCCCCCTTCTTGTACCTCTCTCTCTTTCCTAGTCGATCCTCTTTTCTCTCGCCATTTTCTCTTCTACCTAGCTTAAACCTTCTTCTAACATGGTTTCAGAGCAGGATGATCCTGCTGAGCCTCCTCATCGCGCTTCCGCAGCGCACTCTCTCCCCTCCCGTCGCTTCCGTGCCGCCGTGGCGGCCACGTCGTGCTGCCATGGCGGCCTCGCTACGTTGCCGTGGCGGCCTCGACACGCTGCCGTGGCGTCGACACCATGCCATGGCGGCTTCGTCGTGCTGCCGTGGCGGCTTCGACGCGCCAGCGCACGGATGGCAGCGGCCAGCGCACTGTTTTAGGCGCCAGCCAGCACGCCCGCACGCCAGCCAGCCCACCAGCCAGGGCGCCTCGCTGAAGGCACGCCCACTCCCCTGCGTCTCCCCTCATCCCAGCCACAGCTGATGGCTCCCTTCCCCGTCGTCGCCGGGCCGTGCCACGCCGCTGGGTGCCAAGAGCTTCGCAGTCGCCACTGCTGTCGTCGAAGCTGCCGCCGCCGTTGCAGGTGCTGCTGGTGTTAAGAGGATAATTAGGAGCTAGCTAGGTAGCCATGGAAAGGCCGAGAGGTTTTAGGTGCTAGGTAGCGAGATAGGAGAAGTTGGCGAGAGAAAAGGTGGACAACTAGGAAGAGAAAGCGATACAAGAAGGGGGGGTTATCCCCTCTACAGTAGGATCCAGCAATATAGCACACCTACCAAGCCTAAACAAATATATATATATATATACATACATATATATATATATAAATTATAATTTGACACACCCCCTAGGCTTGGTAGTCGAAAGCCCACCCCACACACCACACCCCCAAACCCTTGCACCCCCATGCCCTTCAGCAGCTGTGGCGTCTACTAGCGGGTCGACCCCTCGGCAATCGAGGCGGCGACGTCGACGGCGGGTCGCAGCGGTGGCGGCGGCGTTGGCGACTGCGGCGGAGGCGGCGTCAGCGACAGCGGCGGAGGCGGCGGCAGGGCCTGCAGCACCTGCGGCGGGCAGCGGCGTCGAGGCACCCGGCGGCGGCGGCGGCGGCACTGAGGCACCCGGCGGCGTAGCTCACACTGCGACGACGAGGGGGGAGGAGGGCACAAGGCCGCCAGCGGGGAGGAGGGGAAAGGCAGCGGAGGAAGGGGGGGAGGAGGGGGGGCGAATCTTCAGCAAGGCGCCATGGCTGGCGCGGCGCTTACTGGCGTGTGGGCATCATGGGTGGCGCCTAAGACAGGGCGCTCGCCGCAGCCGTCCGTGCGCTGGCGCGGCAAAGCCGCCACGGCAGCACGACGACAAGGTGGCACAACGACCCAGCGGCACGGCGGCACGGCGACACAGCGGCACGGCGGCACGGCGGCGCAGCGGCACCGTGGCACGGCGGCATGGCAGGACGGCGACATGGCGACACAACGGCACGGAGGAACGGCGGCACGGAGGAACAGCGGCACAGAGGCACGGCGGCACTGCGAAGCTGCCACGACATCAGGACGACGCCGCCACGGCATGGCGTCGAGACCGCCATGGCATTGCGTCGAGGCCGCCACGGCAGCGCAACAGGGCCGCCATGGCAGCACGTCGTGGCCGCCACGGCGGCGCGAAATCGACGAGGTCGCCGTGGCAGTGCAGCGAGGCCGCCACGGTTGCTCGACAAGGTCGCCGCGGCAGTGCCGCGAGGCCGCCACAGCGACGCGAATGTGACGGGGGGGGGGGAAGATTACGCTGCGGAAGCATGAGGAAAAGGCCCGAGCGGAAGGGCCTGCTGTGAAACCATGTCAAAAGGAGGATAAGGAGCTAGCTAGGTAGCCATGGAAAGGTCGAGAGGTTTTAGGTGCTAGGTAGCGAGATAGGAGAGAAGTTGGCGAGAGAAGAGGTGGACAACTAGGAAGAGAAAGAGATACAAGAAGGGAGGGTTATCCCCTCTACGGTAGGATCCAGCAATGTAGCACACCTACCAAGCCTAGAAAAAAATATATATATAAAATATATAATTTGACAGTTGGCTCCGCTGCCACCCGCCACCGCCGCCGTCGCTGTCGTCGTCATAGCAGCCGCTGAGGCCGTTGCTGCCACCCACCGCCAATGCCGCCGTTTCGCACGAGGGGTAGAAGCCACAGCTGTTGCACGACATGGGGGTGGAAGGGCTTGGGGGTGTTGCGTGTGTGGTGTGCTTGCTGCTACCAAGCCTAGGGGGTGTGTCAACTTGTAAATACTATATGTATATATTTGTGTAGGCTTGGTAGGTATTCTACAATTTTGGATCCTACTGTAGAGAAGACAATCCCCCTTCTTGTACCTCTCTCTCTTTCCTAGTCGATCCTTTTTTCTCTCGCCATTTTCTCTTCTACCTAGCATAAACCTCCTTCTAACAATAAGTATACGGTATTCCCCCGGATACACTGTATACTCCCGTATATAGCCGCATATGTGCTTATAATGGTACCCCTTGCAAAATCACATGGGCTTTTAATCGAATTATCTTTATAAGCACATTGGCTTAATAAGAGTACGGTACCATAAGGAAAAACGTTTTGAAGGCACCAAACTGCAGCTCTTTGAATCACTCTTCGAATGGGCCAAACTCATATGGGGGTCGTGTTGATGGATTTTGTAGCATTGGCTTGGGAATGTCCCGCCAGCAAACCCTTGCTGGAATCTAGCCAATCAGAGCTGAATTCGAGTGAATTGACTGAGCGGAAGTTGCGCGCCTGTCTCGCGAGGATCTTGGGAGGGCTGTGGGAGGTATGGCATGATATTTCGATACAAAAAAATCGCGTTCCGCTCCTTTTTTTCTAGAAGTGTAATACGCTTGTAATAAACGCATCCTAAAAAAATATAGGTGCGCTTATAATGAAATTAACGGATTTAAGTGTGTTCGCAATGCATAAGCCCATGGGCTTAATACATGTTTGCACTTATATCTTGGTGTATACGGTAGTACCCGCCAGAATTAAGCTCCCCCGGGTAGCTTGAACAGGTATGGGCTTAATTAAATCGGATCTATATAACACCCTACTTTTGGGCGTGAAAACAATTGAATATCCCATGCCACCTAGAATCCTCATTCTGACAGGGAACAAGAAGAATTTGCCGTGCATAGTTGCGTGCGAATAAACGGGAGGGCGAATGAACGAGCTGGTGGTCAACTCGAATCTCTCTGAATGGAAAAAATGTTGAAACCTCGAAATCCAAATTGTTCTTTCTCGACACTCTCTTACTCCTGCCAAAACAAACTTCCGCTGCCGCCCACAGATTGGAGGCAGCAAGGACGAGGTGTGCAGCACTCCTTGATTGGCTGTGTCGACCTTGAGTCTATTGGTTTAGCTGACAATGTGGCAAGCAGATGGACCACATCAGAGGGTACACGATGAGGACACGGGATGTGATGTGTGATACACAACAAAGTGGTGTAACAAACACAACTGTTTTGCAATTGAAAAACACATGTGCACGTTCCATAGAACTATGGTCTTATATTTTTTTGGCCATTAATTCCACGCACCCTAGAATTTTCATGAATTTTTATTACCTCCCTAGGGTACTGTATCCGGGGGAATACGGTATGTTAATTGGCACACCCCCTAGCCTAGGTAGAGGCAGCGTTTAACAAACCAAGGTAGCACTACTAGTCTAGCCTTAGGTGAAGGTAACAAGACAACTCAGGGCAGCACTACTAGTTTGACCACTAAGACAAGGGCCACAACGCCAATCAGCAAGTGTAGCAAGGCACGCATGTATAGTACAATAAGTACATGCAGATATAATGTATATAAGGATTACAAGGAGCGGAGATGCTACTGAAACTAGACCAAGCTGAGTACAGAACAGCCTGATGGTCACGAGGCGGTAGTGCCTTGGTGAAGATATCAGCAGTGTTGGCCTCTTGGGCCACCTATACTATACGAGCCTGACCGAGCTGCTGCAACTCACGCAGCAGGAAGTACCGCAGCTGGATGTGCTTCGTCCTGCCCTCTAGCCGAGCCTCCTGACACAGGAGGATCATTGCCCTGTTGTCAGCAAACAGGACCGGGGCAGAGCTAGGCGGCTCACCTACAGTAAGTCAGTGAGCAAGAACGTCAGCCAGCGAAGCTCTTAAGCAGCCATGGCCCCAGCGTAGATCTCTGCCCCATAACTGGACTCTAGGTTTTTCTGGGTCCTTCCCACCTCGGAGCTACAGACGACGACCTAGTGGACCTCCACGAGACTGCACTAGAACCAAGACTAAAACAGTAGCCCTGTGAGGACCTGAGTGTCTCCAACTCGTCAGCCCACAACACATATGTGTATCCAGTGCGCATCACTGGCTCCTGTCCTCCTAGTACCAGCCCCAGTCCTGATGTACTCGCCATATACTGTAGCACCCTCTTGGCAGCCGACCCATAGACTGGTTGGTGCCTCCCTGTTGCAACAAAGCAAGCAAGGATACTAAGAGGGTATGCTAGATTTGGTCGAGTGCAGGTTATGAGGTACATGAGGCACCCCACCAGCTTTGCGTATGAACCACTAGGCTCGGCTGGCTCAGCCGAAACAGGAGCAGAGAGCTTCTGATCCATAGGCAGAGGGGTGGGCTGTGCTGAGGAGAACTAGAGACGGAACCTCTAGAGGATCTGCTGCACCATATGGGACTGGGAGAGTGTGATCGTGCGAGCTGCACGGTCACAAGAGATCTCCAAGCTGAGATAGCACCTCAGCTCCCCTAGGTCTGTGCAGGCCTTCATTGAGGCCAGTGCGTCTCTGTCAGGAGTAGCAAAGATAAGGTCGTCTACTTACACTAGTACCAGTAGAGACAAAGAGCGAAGGGTCAGCAGAAGACGAAAAGAAGTGCAGAGAAGAAAATGTGGTGATGAGCGTGTCGTGCCACTCACGGGGCGCCTGACACAGGCCGT